CGGAGGGCAGCGACGCGTGGCCTCGGCCCCGCAGCCGTGTGCGTGAAGGGACGGGAGGCGTGAAGGGAGGGGCTGCGCCGAGCCTTGTGGTCGCTGCTGAAACCGAGGGGTTTGAAGCCGGGGAACCTAATGAGGGTTTATAGGACGTGACGAGTTGAGGATATGGTTTTGTTATCCGCTGGGTTAAAGGTTTAGGTTGAAAGCCCTCTTGGGCAGTGTCTACCGACTTTTATACCTGCCGATCAGTTAAGATTTTAAGAGAGTAAAAGGTATGCAGGTAGTTATACACAAATCTTAGGTTCTCCAAGTCATCCCCTCATGAATGACTCTCTTCAGCATTGTTTTACTGAAGGATATCTAGATTAGGCCCTTGCCCTCTTGAGCCCAGTGCTTTTGCGTCATGTGTGTTCCCACTGAAATCCCTATGACCACTGAAATGTTGACAGGATCTGGTTGAAGGTTGTGAGCCCACAAGTGGCAAGGTGTGCTCTTTTCTCACCAAGTGTGGTGCTGGAGCGTGTCTACGCGTGCACTGCTCTTCTGTGCATACCTGCATTCTGCCTACAAGTTGCTGTTCTTGCTACAAGCAATGTAGAGTTGTCAGAATATTAATGTAAAGTATTTTTTGGCTGATGGTTTCCCAAAACCCAAAGAAATAATATGTATCCATGTGAATTTAATTAGAAACATCTCCTGTGTAACTGCAAGCTTGGATTAGTTAGGGCTTTATTGCTTCACTTAAGTAACCACTATAGGATTAATTCTGATCTTCAGCCAGTTCTTTATAAAACTGTGATATGTGCGGGGATGTACAAGCACCAGTACCCAACTCACAAGGTATTAAAGTGTAACTTCAGTGTGGAAGGGTTACTGTCACAGCTAGAATGAACAAGCTGCATGTTCTTTGTGGTTGAATCCTTACACATGTGTGCACATACACAAGAACACACAAAATCAGTGAGGTACAATTGTTTAATCACTTAGGAGCAGAAGGGAGCTTTTCATGTTAAGCTAGTCCCTGGGTGAAGAACAAAAGCTGTTTACTCTGGGAGAACCATAGTGCAGCTATTCCCACAAGGGCCCTGTGCTGCTATATACCAGCAACTGTGGAACAGGCCTGAAACCTGGGGGTGGCAGGAGTTGGGGTGCTGCAGAAGCCCTAGTGAAAAGGAGGGCTTCCTTCTGTTGGCTGGCCTTCAGAATGGCTGCAGTGGTCGCATTGAGGAACACGTCAGGAGGAGGCACACCTTCACTTCCAAGTGTGCGATTCTTTAGTTTAAAAGATTTGAAACCATTATTTTGTGGTAATGATTCCTGCCTGGTTCCTTATTTTCTTTCACTTCGTCTGAGATTCAAGGGTTTGGAATCTGTTCTTAAACATCCCACTCTCTGCTGCAGTGCTCCTGATAAAAAAACGTCTTTGGTGCAAAGACATTGGGAACGGTTTTGTGTGTTGTGAAAATCAAACTCTTCCTTATTTGTAAATAAATTAATTCAGTGATTTGGGTATTTCACAAGAAAGAGGTGGTCTTTTATATTTTTAAAATAATAGAAGAACAACCTCCAATTTAATTTAAAAAAAAAAATAAAAATCTGTCAAGCCTTGAAGGTGAGCATGAGCCAACCAGAAGGGAGAATCCTTTACTTTCCCACTGTCTTCCAGAGAATCTTCACTTGGTTCGGAGGAACTTTCCTGTTTTACATTGTGATTCTTCTTTACGGGAGGGTTATTTTCATTCTCTGTTTCTCAGACCTTTTCCTGTAGATGGGAGCGGGGGAAGGAGCCCAGACGTGGCAACACATTCTCAGGCTCCTGCAGGACCACCATGGCTTATGATGACTTCAAGAAAAAAAAAGAAGGTACGGCTGCTTCATAATCTCAGAGGAAGTTGCCAAAAAAAGAAAGGAGTACCCTCTGCAGCCCTAGCCAGGCCACACAGAGTGCAAAAGGAGGCTAGTATGCTGTGGAGCCCTTCCTTTTAAGCCAGCTGAGTTGCTGGAGGATCCCAAGCCCTTGACTTCCAGGTCTAAAGTACTGGGATTAGAATTTGATAGAAACGGGTGGTATTTCCTAATGCAAACACTTTGATTGGAAGCTCTGCCACTGCAGCCTTTCTTCTCCCTGCCAGGTCAATGGAATGGGAGACCAGGATATATCCATAGGGATATGTTTAGCCATGGTAACATTTCTAGGTCCAGTTGTCTTAAGGGAGAAATATACATGGGTTAGAAATAAAATCTTGAGTGAGTGATTGTGTTATAGCATTAGAGCGCTGAACCCCATCCCTGTGGTTAGAGAGTAGAGAATGTTGTCTTTTAGGCCCTGTGCTTGTGAGGTTTTGTGGATCTCTCTGTGCTAATGTCCACTGTTACCTTATTTTGTGCATAGTCCACGTCTGTCACTCCTTAATGGGGTATTTAATTTCTTCCTTTTTTCCCATTTCATATAAATCATAAAGAGTTCCTAGAGGGCGACCGAAGTGTTGACGACGCGGGGCTGGCAACTGGCAGGATACAGCGAGAGAAAAAACGTTCCTACAAGGATCTGCTGCAAGAGGAAGACGAGGTAGCAGCTCAGGTGAGGAAGCCCTCAGAGAAAAAGTTGAAGGTCTAAGGATATGTGTAAAGCTAGTGATGGAAGGGGATGGATGGGTTTCTTTTCTTTTTTCTATAGAAGACAGCAAGAGCAGCTAATTGTGTCCTGTATTGTTCAGTAACTTCCCTGGGGAAAAGGAGCGGGTCAGTCCAAATGACAACTGATTCTGATTTTTCTGGCCTTCGAAAATAGAGTAGTAAGAGAAAAGGGATGACTGAAGGCCACCAACTGAATGCTGAGAGATTAAGGCAACTCAATAAAACATGAGATATTTTCTAAATGTAAAGTTAAACAAATGCAATTTAAAAAATTGAAAAAAATAATAAAGTGATGTTAAGTGAATGCAATTATAAAACATCCAAAAACATATTCTAAAAGTACTGTTAAACATAAGCACTCAAAAAACATCAAAACACAATTTTGAAAGTGGCATTTGGGATTGCAACCTGAAACAAGCTGTTCATAATACACTTGATTGATTTGTCTTTATCTCATCATTCATTTTTCATGTTACAAATGGTGTGACTCCTACACTCCTCTATGTAAACACAGTTCTCCTTGGAAAAATCAGAGCACTGTGAGCAGAGCCATCACCAGCTCCCCAAGGTTCTGCTCACCGTGCTGAGCAAGCACCACCTGATGGTCAGTGTCCAGTTGTCCCAGCGGTGATTTGGTGTAGAGGTGTCCAGCCCTGGCCTAGACCCAGGTAGCAGGATGCTGTCCCAGTCTTGATGTAGAGCCTTGCAAGTCATAAGATAGCCTTAATAACTTTTACATGCACACGCAAAAAAAAAAAAAATTTTAGAATTTACAGTTGAATAAATAGCCAGCAAAGGATTAATATAATGTTAACTGATGCACTGTTGTCTTCCTGATTCTGCAGACAGCCTGAAACGATAGCTCTTGAGAGGTATGAACTTGCCCTATTCACCTCTTTAGGGCCTTAACTCTGAAATCACATAGTGACAACTTAAGTTTCTTGCAAACTTTCCTATTTGAGCTAAAATATATTCTGTTAGCTCAAAGGTGACTATCTTGTGATTTGTTTTTTTTAATCTGGAAAATAAGTTCTAGTTTAAAATTAAAATCTTCTACTATGCATATGGAACTCTGTAGAGGAGCTTCATTTTCAGACCATAAAATGGTCAAGATACGAATAATAACTGGGTGACATGACATATTAAGGTCAACTTTTTGGCCTGTCATTGTAATTGTCACCTCACTGTACCTCCTTTCATATCTTTCACCTTTTCCAGCATATTAACATGAACTGCTCGCCTTCATTTTCAAGGCTTGACAGCCTATGCATGCTTAGTTATTTCTTAGCTTTATTAAGAGGTAGAGGTTGGTCTTTTATCAACTAATGAGCTGATCTCCAAGAGCTGGCTTTCATTGCTCATTTCTTAACACTTTCAAATCTGCTTTTTCAAGTTGTTTTCTGTATTGCTCCTCTCACTTGGGAGGGAGCTCCTTGTAGAGATCTTTCGGTTTCCATATGGGTCTGTTGTGCTGCAATGCCTGCAGAAGCTTGGTGCTGGTTAGGTGGCTGATGTGCTGAAACTAATGCTGACTAATACTGTTTTTTGAATTCTCCCACCTATCCGTACCATGCTTTTTGTCTTTTATCTTAAACCTTTTAGAATTTACAGTTGAATAAATAGCCAGCAAAGGATTAATATAATGTTAACTGATGCACTGTTGTCTTCCTGATTCTGCAGACAGCCTGAAACGATAGCTCTTGAGAGGTATGAACTTGCCCTATTCACCTCTTTAGGGCCTTAACTCTGAAATCACATAGTGACAACTTAAGTTTCTTGCAAACTTTCCTATTTGAGCTAAAATATATTCTGTTAGCTCAAAGGTGACTATCTTGTGATTTGTTTTTTTTAATCTGGAAAATAAGTTCTAGTTTAAAATTAAAATCTTCTACTATGCACATGGAACTCTGTAGAGGAGCTTCATTTTCAGACCATAAAATGGTCAAGATACGAATAATAACTGGGTGACATGACATATTAAGGTCAACTTTTTGGCCTGTCATTGTAATTGTCACCTCACTGTACCTCCTTTCATATCTTTCACCTTTTCCAGCATATTAACATGAACTGCTCGCCTTCATTTTCAAGGCTTGACAGCCTATGCATGCTTAGTTATTTCTTAGCTTTATTAAGAGGTAGAGGTTGGTCTTTTATCAACTAATGAGCTGATCTCCAAGAGCTGGCTTTCATTGCTCATTTCTTAACACTTTCAAATCTGCTTTTTCAAGTTGTTTTCTGTATTGCTCCTCTCACTTGGGAGGGAGCTCCTTGTAGAGATCTTTCGGTTTCCATATGGGTCTGTTGTGCTGCAATGCCTGCAGAAGCTTGGTGCTGGTTAGGTGGCTGATGTGCTGAAACTAATGCTGACTAATACTGTTTTTTGAATTCTCCCACCTATCCGTACCATGCTTTTTGTCTTTTATCTTAAACCTACACTGTGGGCTCCTGGGGACACAGTATTTTTCCTTTGCTTGTTTTAACACCTAGAATAATGATCCTGGTTCATACCTAGGGTCCCTTCATGTTACAGTATTACAAACATCTTTTTGATACCTCCTACAAATTATTATCTATGTCAGTAGACCATGTGAATCTCATCTTTCCATTTGTTTGTCAGCAACTTTTTTTCTTCATCTTCTAGGACAGTGAACTCTTTCTGGGGCCAGAACCTCACAAAAAGAAGAGGAAGCACTCCTCCGATGAGTTCTGCTACAGAGGTAAGGTAGTAATCAGGCAAGGGAAGGGTTTAACAGATTGTGACTTTGAGGAAAGGGTACTGCTAAGCCACTGTCATCAACTTCTGTGGTTAGCACTTTATGGGGGAAAAGGTACATCAGCCTGTCTTAGGAGAAGTAACCAGGAACCTGACATTGGTAGGCACCAGACAGCAAAAGAATAAGGAAAGATATTTTCAGGGTCTAGCTTAACAGTTTGCCATTGTTATGGGTAGAGATCTTCCACCCTCCCTTTTATTGACAAGTTGTAATTTTGTAAGCCATGCCTACCCTTTTGGGATTTGCTTTTCTTTTTTCCCTGTTGCATGACAAACTTTAATTTCACTTGCTGATAGTGTTACTTCCTCTGAATTTATGAAAATAGAGTAGATCAAAGTGAAAAATACATGCTTTTGGGTTCCGTATAATACAGAAACATTATTGTCACAATTAATAAGATGACCAGAAAATTACAATTCTGTTCCTGAAAGCTTAACAGGTTTAAGAGTTATTTTTGGCCCACTAAAAAGAGAAAGCCAAGTTGCAATTTCAATAACATCTGCTTTCAGAATGAAAAAGCTTGTATTTTCAATTAATTTGTCTCACTATGGCTAAAAATGGCACAGAAACATTGCACTTGAGATAGTTTCAAGCTCAGTAAGATACATTTTCATCAGAATATGTTATTTCATAACAGAATACAAAGTTTTACAAAACTTAAAAAACTCTCCTACTGTTTCTTCCTCCCTTAAATTATTTTACCAGCTGAGGTGTTACAGCTCCTGAACTACATCAGTAAGGCCACACTGAGCTGGTTACAAGCTTCAGGGTTCTTCTGCTTAAGCCAGGATGCAAATCTTTCAGCTGTAATCATAAGTCTTGAAGGGATTCCCCCTTCACTTCCTTGGGCTACTGTAATGCTGTCTTTAAGGGAATCATCCTGATGTATATTTCTCTTGTTCTTTTTCAGGTGTTTCACCTTTGGATCTACCATCAAAGAAGAAGAAAAAAGCAGTTTCTAGCCCATCCTCAGCTGATGCAACCATGGATTTACTCAAGAATGTCACTTCACCTTTGGCCACAAGCTCAAAGTCTTCAAAGAAGACTTCTGAAAAATCATCTTATTCTTCCTCTGGCCATTCCGAAAGCAAAAAGGAGCACCACAAGAAGAAGCTGAGTGGGAGCAGTGCGGAGCACTCAGTGGATGATGGCAGCTTCCATAAATCTAAAAAAATGAAACCTCTCTACGTGAACACAGAGACACTTACGCTTCGTGAACCTGATGGTTTGAAGATGAAGCTCATCCTTTCACCAAAAGAGAAAAGCAGTGCAGCAGATGATGATTCTTTCTCTTACTCTTCAGCACCAGCAGGTGCTAAGAAATCTTCAAAGAAATCATCTCGAGATGAGCAAGGCTCATTCCT